CATCTTCAGTGTGGCCGCCAGCTAATACACCATCAATATATAAATTATTCAAAATTATGTTTGCGGCTCTAGGATACGAATCTTTTACATCCTCCGCTAGTTTAAGAAGAGTTCTCAATGCTAAATATGGTGTGCAGTTAACTCCAAATGCAATTGTTAGCAGCTCATAATCTACTGGGTTTTCAGGAGACTGTCTAAATAAAATTCTTTGATATTTTGTTTGCTTTGAATCCAAAGGTATTTGGCGATACATCTTTATTATATCTGCATTGAAGACATATTTAAAAAATCTCCATTTTAAAATTTGCAATACTAAATCTTGTTGCAAAATGGGTCCAGGATATAGTATGCCATTTAGACTTGTTTTGTTTGATGTAGGACAAGAAACATTAAATACGACTCTTAATTTCGTTGTGAGTCGATCGGGTTTTATCACAGCGTGATGTGGTAGATAATAATTTGGCATTTTATCTATTTCATTCGGATTGCTTTTCCTCATATGACCAAGTTCTAGGTATTCAAGTATTGGGGCATCATATTGTTTTTTGATCTCCGGTGTTTTCAAAAGTTTTTTCTCCATTCTGTAGAATTGTTTCGGGAATCCCCCAATTCTTCGCATTTTTTTAAAGGGAGAGTCACCACATACTTTCCATCCTTATTCCGTGTTGTTGTTTCAGTGAAGATTGGTCTTCTTTTGACCGTAAAACTTTTTTAAGGAGTCTCTTCCACCTCCCAAAAAACGTGTAAGTACTTTCTCTATTGAAGTTGTATTTAGAAGTGATATTTGTTTTCGTTGAAGGGTGCTTCCCAGTATAGATCCTCCAACTATCCATCCAAAATTTCGTTGAAGTCTCAGAAACAAACTGACTTAAGCCAGTGACATGAATTAATTTGTTTCGTGTAGGTAACTTCAAAAAGTTTTTCATCTTTTCCGAAAAGTAGTGTTCCTTCAGATTGTCGCTAACAAATTTGCTTATCTTGGAGGGTCAAAGTAGTAATAGTAGTTGGCTCTAGGTTTGTAGTGGACTATATTTGGTTTGGCACCAGCACAAGTACTGTGTGAGTTTCTTTTCCCATGTGTAACAAAGTATTGTGTTTCATAGTACAAATATGGCAGCCAAAGCGACTTTTGCAATCCCTTACTCCGTGAATTCCATCCATCCATCATTAGTTAGAGGGACATGCCAAATAATTTCTCTAGCTTCTCCTGCTGTATGAATAATTTTTCGACATTGCTTCATTTTGAGTTGTTTATGTAAATTGTCTAAAATAGATCTCTGAAAGTTGGCTATTCTCTATAACCACCTTTAATGTGTATGTATCGCATGGAGGTAGCCGCGATACATTAGTGAAATGCACTTCCCTTCCTCGTTGTGACACCTCTGACTCTCTTTTCATTTTTCCTGGGCTTTTCATCCAAAAGATTTTGAATTTGTCCATTTATTGAACTCAGCGCTTTTTTACGATTCCATGGTATCCATATATTGCTTCCTCACTTTATTTTTATCAATCGGCTTTCCTCCCTCTTCTGGAACATAATCCCGGCTGTCTATATATGCTCTCTTGACCTGGTCCCATGCAGAGTCCAACTTCATTCGTGTTGTTTCCAATGTATGTACCGTGTCATCAGGTTTGGTTATTGAAAATATTGAAATATAATCCAAAAGATCGTTTATCCATTTTGAAAGCTGTGCGTTAACTTTTACGAAATTTTGTTGTGTTACAAAAAAGGAAGGTTGCCCAATGAAAAGGACTAACTTGGTTTAGAATTTAAACTTTTATTCAAATTTTTATTTTTAAAATGAGGATAAGTTTCTTTCCCTAATTTTTGTCGACGAAAAGATCGTTTTGTTGTTTTGTGTTAAATTATATTCCGTCTCTTTTCAAAAATTTCCAAATTTTTGAAAATTTTCAAAAAAATGTCTTTGTAATTGACACCGGACTGATTTGATTAAAAATGTTTGTTGGGTTGCCAGAAGGAGTCAACTTTTAGCCAAAATGAGCAAAAAAAAAAGAAAATCAAATCTCTTAAAGTCCACTTACAGGAGGATTTTATTTTTTTAATTCGAGAAATATTTCAAATTTTTTTTAAAAACAGTGAAAACATGATTGTAAAGGCAAAAATTAACAGGGATATTTTGTTTCAATAAACGACAATTTTTTTCCGAAGTAAAAATGTGCGCTGGGTTGTCGAATAAAAATCCAAAATTTTCATCTCAAATCGCTTAATATCCTATGACAGGAGGACTTTATTTTAAAAGCCAATAATTTTGATTATTGCTGTAAATATTTGTTTGATTCAACAAATTTTTTAAATTCGCTAAATTTTTGATCAAATTCGCAACGAGAGTTAGAGAAAATAATTTTGAAAAATTTCTCGAAAATATTTCAAAAAAATTAATTCGGGTCAGAATCCAAAATTTTTCGCAAAAAAAAAACAAAAAGTGTCGAAATGTTTCAAGTCGCAAAAGTAGAAAAACCAGCAAAATATTTCTGCCAAAAATTACAGACAATTTTGGGTCCCAGAAAAATATTAAGCTTTTTAGAGAAAGAGAGGTTTTTATAAATTGTAAAAGACGTTAAAATTATAATTAAAATATGTAGTTGTAAATAGATGGGATCGATTTTATGTCTGTCCACCCGACTTTATATTTTTTTTTCAAAATTTCAAATGAATTTGTGGATTATGTATCACATGTATGTCTGTCTACCAGACTCTTGCTTGTTTTAAATTTTTTTTCTCAAAAATTGTTTAAGAAAATTTAGGTTAATTTTTGTCTGTCCACCAGACGTTTTTTTTTAACGGCAGTTATTTACTTTTTTGTGTTTTCGATAGACGCCAAAATTTTCCAAAAAATATGGCGACTATATATTCGCTTTGTATTTAAATGACGATGAATGTAAATCTCCTTTTTTCAAATATGGCGTTTATGTATTATTAGTAACGCCAATTTTCCAAGTCTAATTTACATAGACACATTTTTTTCTGTTGAATGTCCGTCCAAGATAGCTGCTTAAAAAGAGGTTTTGTGATGTGTGAGTCAAGGCTAGGAGCTTATGGTAATTTTTGAGTCTAAGTCTAGGCAATCTCCAGTTTCAAAAGAAGTCAGCATGTGTGTATGTAATTTATTTTACAAAGCGAGTATAATTTTCAAAGCAAATATCAAGAATTTTCCTGCTCCTTTTATGCCCTTTTCTCTAAAATAATTTAAGAATTTCCACGAGTACTCACTTTGTTGCTGGTTTTGGATCTCAGGTTTGATTGCTGTTGTTGTGTCGTCGCCGCTTCTGTAAATCGGCTGCTATCCACTCTGCTCTCACAAACCGTCTTGATGGGTCTCAATTTGTTTTGTTCCAAATTGTGTCCCTGTATAATGACTTTTACTTTTTTTCTTAAATTTTTGTTAGTTTCATAAATCAATGTTTTTTTTTTCTTTTTTGTGTTTCACTGTAGTGTCACTTCTGTATTCCAATGTATTGTCACTCACGGTATCTATGTATTTTTTGATTTGTATTTTTTTCTTTTTTGTTTTAAATATTTAAAAAAATTATTGTATTTTTTATTCAAATCAATACAATATAATACTGAAAGTCGTCTGTTAACCCTAAAGTTCTATAAAAGTGAGCGCTTGGATAGGGAAATATTGACAGTTCTTTCAGTGAGAGTTAGCAATTTCTTGCTGGAAAAATTTTTCTTGAAGAGAATTCATTTTTTTTCATGAAGAGTAGACAGACGGAATCCTTCCAAAGACCTGCAATCATTTTTTTTTTTCAAAAGAAAACAATTTAACCGCAATAAAAAAGAAATGAAGGAAGTAAAAATTTAATATGAGCCGAAAAACAAAAAAGGTTTGCGATTTCTAAAATAAAGATGTTTTAAAATTGCATGCGCAAATATAGCTCTCCGAAAGGAGAAGAAGAAGAGTTGCAAGTGATTGCAAGAGGAAATTTGCAGTTCTTTTTTTGTTAACTGTTACAATTTTTTTTTTTGGTAACAAGACACACCATATCCTTGATCGATCCAACTATTGGTTTGTTGCAAACATAGACTAAGTTATAGAGCTAATAAAAAGTCAAATTGATAACAAAAATGGTTGTTTCATTATCCTCTTGACCATTCAAAGAATTTTGACTCAGTGGATCATGCACACTTGAGTATGAACACATTTACGAATTCAGCTGTACGACATATAAAATATTATTTAAGTTCTCACTACTAAAAATAGATTTGCCGCTGTCAATGGTTTATTACTGAATCCCGAATAGTCTAAATATTTTCTAATCCTTAAAATAAACAATTCAATCTTCGCGATCTGGATATCGTTATTAATGAGAAAAAAATGATATTGTTTCGCAGGCAAAAAATTTGGGGTCATTTTAAAATATCGGTAACATATTTATTATTAAAGTTAAGTAGCCGGACAAACATGTGCAAAGCTGTATGCGTTATGGATAACACATCCCTTTACTCTAATAAAATATGTTTTCTATAGAATACTAGCAAAAACTTTCCTGGTATGGATGTGAGCTTTTCGCAAATTCTGATTCAGCAACTTAACTAAAAGGTAGCATTTAACAGCATGATTCAATACTTATATCGTATTTTCATTTATTTGATATTTTCACTTAATTGTATGATCCTGCACTTTAATTGTGGGATACATAAACAATGCGAGTTGCCTTCACTAGTAATTGACAAGCAATCATCAGACCATTCATCCAAAATTATGTCCTGTATGTGTTTAAAGCATCTTCTGTTGGCATATATGCCTTCAAGAGTCCTATTAACTGTGGGGTTTTGGTGCTTGATCTACAATGTCATTCTGGGTACTATTTGGATGACCAGGAATGAATTTTAGCAACGATTTAATTAAATATGCATTAAAAATGTTTATAAATTGATTTATGAACTGATTTTTATGATGTTTTGACTTAATTGATAGTATTCCGCTTAAACTATTAGTTATGATGGCTACTTTTGGTAAATTATAATCCCGAACGTTCTTGCTTCGGCAGAACATATACTAAAAATTGGAATGATACAGAGAAGATTAGCATAGCCACTGCGCAAAAATGACACTTAATCGTGGCCTAAAGTAGCACAAAGATAAAAATGTTTTCTTTGTGGATTATAAAGCCGCATTTGTATAAGTTTACGCATAAAAAGTTGTTAGCCCAAAAAAATATAGTTTTTCCCAAAAACTCATTGCACACTCATAAATTCCAATGAAACTGCATTGCAGATATTCGTCTGCCCTAAATATTTTCCCAAAGTTCAATTCCTTTTAATTAGAAGCAAATTAATTTTAGAATTGAATTATAACATAGTTTTAAGTCACTCTTTAATCAGCAGCCAAACAATAAAGTCGGTTTAAATAAAATAATCGTCTTTTATTTCTGGTAAAAAGGCAGATAAGGTTCACAAAAATAAGTTACAAGATTAAAAGTAGTCCGCGATAAAGTTTCGCATAAGGATCAAGTTGATACTAATTTTTTTAAGACCTTAACGCACAAAGGTCTAACTGGCGTCCGAGCAAATCAGTGTCGTGTAAAGTGTAAAGAAAAAGGCCCCGCTTCACCCGCGAATAAATAATTAAAAACAAAGTACTAAGAAATTTTTTAAATAAGAACTTATATTTAAATCTGAAAAAACAAGTGAAATCAATAACATTCTGTTAAAGCCAAACGTTTTTTAAGAAAAATTCATACTAAAAAGATGAGCAAACCGAGGGAAATTATTAAAACTCGGTCGAAGACAAAACGTTTAACATACGAATTACGGCCGAAAAAATACAGAAAACATCTGGAAGGAAAAAAATCTCAAAATTGGCTTAATTTAAAATTACCAAACACAGTCTATGAATTACCAAAAAAACAAAAAGTTTTGGAAAAATAGAAGAAAAAAATAAATATTTTCCCAAATAAGTTATAAAAAAAAAAGGTCTATAAAACAAGAACATAAAAAGTGCTGATTGTGGATTTTACAATATAATGTAATATTAAAGAACCACAACACAACTCAAACAATATTGAAAGAAAACTAGATGCTACACAACGGATAAACAGTGTTTTTACCAATAACAGCCTTGCAAAAGGAGTGCCCACCATGATGATACTATTGTAAGTTATTTTTTTATTTATAATAAATTACAAATAGACATAAAATAACCGTATATAATCCAAAACATACAAAAATATCTGTGAACGATATTGAAAAAGCAGCCCTACATACTTAAATACAACTTTAAACCCCCTGTTAAAAAGAAGAATAAATAGTAATTAAGAAGAATTAAATTCGAACGCTATTCCAACAAACGTGGTAGATAGGTGACTTAGATAGTAGTAGTAGGTGACTTAGATAAAATTCCGATCTTGTCAAATGCCTAAGGGAATTTTCAGGCAAATTAGGAGAGTTTAAGTATTAGAGAAAGAGCGTGGGAAAAATTTTAAGAATATATGAAAATCTGAAAGGTATTCCAAAATACTACGGTATTTTGAACATAATTAGAGATACAATTGTAGGTAACGCAGAAATGGCGTTGGAGTCGTACAACACTCCTTTAGATTGGCTAGCAATTTTCAAGTACCTTACCCTACACTACACCGACAAATGAAATGTATCAACATTAGAATACAAATTGACAGTTTTGATTCAAGGGAACTAAACAGTTCAATAATTTTATAAGGCAGTTTATTCACATCGTTCCTTGATACTTAATTAGGAGGATTAGAAGCTGGAAACGAGGGTCAGGAAAATAATTTTCACACAATGAAACAGAATCAGAACTTGATGACATTCATTTTTTAGAATGACAAGCTCTTCGCTTCCATATTTTTAATGTCGGACTAAGAGCGGGAAAATCTTTAAAATCTTAATAGACACAGAATCTAGTAAAAATTATATTCCACCGGGCTTAGTAAAAAAATAATTTCTAACGAAATTCCATTATTTGGACGACAAACTAAAATTCCTCCTTTAGACGCAGTCATTTACACAAATAAAAATTACTTGATCGTTCATCAGCATACTAAAGTTCGACTTAAACAACATGCCAGTCAAAGTGTGAATACTATAAAATTACGAGATGACTCATATAGTCAGGCAAATAGAAGCCATGAATTGTTAAAGTGGTTGGAGAGATCCGTACGACAAATGATTTTCCAGTGTATACCAAATTTTACTCTTATCCGGCTTCATTAAAGCGCGAAGTCGAGATGCAAGTGCAAAAACTTTTAAGATATGGAATCATACAACCATCAGGATCCCCGTACAATTCACCTGTATGGATAGTAGATAAAAAACCTGATTCCCAGGGGAATAAACAATATAGAATGGTCATAGACTATCCTGAAATATCCGATGTTTTAGGGAAGTTAGGAAATACCAAATTCTTTTCTGTCTTGGACTTGAAAAGCGGATTCCACCAAATTCTGTTAAAAGTCTCTGTGGATGTGGAAAAACTGCATTTTCTATTAATAATGGTAAATGCGAGTTTACTCGCTTACCATTTGTTTTAAAAAAAGCGTCGTCGATATTCTAACGAGCTCTCGATGACATTCTCCGCGAACATATAGGGAAAATATGCTACGTATATATCGATGATATAGTTATATACAGCAAATCCGAAGAAGACCATATTAGTGACATTCATAATGTTCTCAAAACGTTAGAAGAAGCAAATATGAAAGTAGTAGAATTCCTCGGATTTATAATATCCGAGGCAGGCATAAAAACCAACCCAGAAAAGTGGAAGCTATCGCAAAGTTTCCCCAACCCAGAACTATAAAAGAACTTCGACCTTTCCTAGGTCTCACGGGACACTATCGCCGTTTTAAAAAAGATTCGAATATCGAAAAACAATCGTCTAAAATTTCTATAGAATTTAATACAGCGGCGGTAGAAGCTTTTACAATGATAAAAAAATTCTCTAATATCAAGAGATATATTGTTGTACTATCCATTGTTGTACTATCTATTAGAAGCCCTTCGACCTAACAACTGATGCGTCAGGTTATTCTCTCGAATTAGTTTTGTCTCAAGGAGACAAGCCCATTACCTTTATATCAAGAACTCCGAATAAGGCAGAAGAGCATTACGCAGCGAATGAAAAGGAAATGCTCACTATTATATAGACCCTTAACAGCCTTTTCTATATGAAGTGGTAAAGTGAAAATATACACAGACCACCAGCCACTCACATACGCTCTTAGTAATAAAAACAAAAACTAAATCCCTCTGTCATAAATGATTGATGCCATTGATGGGAAAATTTTCCACAGCACTTTGCAAAATATCGCATTAGATATCCAAGTGGAAGATATTAAAGGCAATCACCAACAGGATGAAATAATTATCAGCACAAAAAAGAGCTCATAGAAATGCCAGAGGAAATAAAATACAGATACTCGAAAAATGTTATTTTCCCAGCATGAACAATGTTTGCAAAGAAAATAAATACGAAAGGCATCCACCGAAACCTGAACTAAGGGCAACAACAATACCCTTATATCCTGGCGAAATCTCCATATTGATACTTTTAAAACGGGGAATAAACTTGTCCTCAGGATTATTAAGTCAAGAGTCATTGAAGATATTAAAGAACCTATAACAGAATTAGTTGTTGTTGTTGTAGCAGTAGTACATGCATGTGTTTGCGTTCTGCTAATCTGGTTCCAGCTCCAGGTTTAGAAATTCGGCTACTTTAATGGGCTGTAGCCAGAGATCAGAGAGTCAGTTGGGTAGGTTTGACTGTGCAGTTAAAGAGGTGCAGCATATTGTGCGGGCTTGTATCACACGCCGGGCAGGCGTCACGCACCTTTTCATCAATTCGTGCCTAATACGAATTGGGACGACTACACCATCCTGAACGTAATTGCGCCAAAACTACCCTGGTTTGTCTAGGCAGCTGACGTTCTTCAGGTGCTATGGATGGGGGGGGGGGGGGGGGGGGTGTACTCCGAGGACGGCATTCATTTTATAGTTGCTAATAGCATCTGCCTGATAGACTTGATCTTGAGGTTCTCTCTTGTAGCGCTGGACCACCCTCTCTAGATCATGTATGTCCTTCCTGAGACGCCTGGGTGGGGGAGATTTATCCACCATATGATGGTTGGGATGACTCTCATGGTAACATCCAAGCAGGTACTGCAAAGAAAGCATATGCCCAGTCCTCTACTAATATATGTGGATATGGCGTGTAATGCTGTTGTGGTACTATGTTGTGGATGAAATCCGTGCTGGTGGTTGGCAACTGTATAGCTTTCTCTAATGCTGGGGAGGAGTAAAGCTTCAAGAGTCTTCGCTACTGGTGACAAAAGCGAAATCGGCCTGTACGATTCACCTTTACTGGCTTCAGTTGCGGGACCACCCGGCCCATTTCCATGTTTCGAGCACTATGTGGGTGGCTAGCGACAAATTGAGAACTTTCGTTAAGTACTCGACTCCCGGTGTACTCAGCTGCTTCAACATTACCATTGAGATTCCGTCCGGGCCAACGCTTTGGATGACATAGCGTTACGGATGACATTTGCAACATAACCCATCGTAAACTGTAGTAGTTCCTCCTCGGAGATCATCACGCTCGTTTGCTAATCCCGCTGCCTCTGCTGGGAAGTTTGGTCTTATCTCGGGTATTCGACCAGCAGGTATATAGTAAGCGGCTGCAGCTTTGATGATGTTTCGGCGGTTGGTGAATTCTCTGGTTAAGAAAAGTGCGGCGTTCAGAGGTTATGAAATCGGTCGACCTGCTTATGAAGACGACTATTAGGAGATGGCCTGAGCCAAGAGAAATGAGTCACGTCATTTATCAGACCGGGTGACACTATGGTTAAGTCTGGCGAACTCCTCTTATTCGGGTGGGGGCATCCTCGCTAACCGTGCAGAATGTGGAGCAGTCAATCTGCTCTGTCAGCGCTGATCCCCTCTGGTCATTACCTGGGACGGAATGCCACAACTCGTGGTGGGCATTAAAATCCACTAGTATCAGGCGGTTATTGCCTACCAACAATGGGCTAATATCAGGCAAATAACGCGGTTCACAGCTATTAATCGACGGGATGTACACATTAAGCACCTCTACATCGGCAGTTCCACACTTGACTGCTACCCC